GGAGGAGTTTCTTAACACTCATTCTTCCACTTTCACCAACCCCTCATGTTTCACTGAAACTACCCGATTCTCATTTTATATTTTAGCGTCCTGTTGCACTGATTTAAGTCCATGATTTATTTAAACCATCTTGCAGTGCATACACTCATTTATCTCCTTCTCTCCCTCGCACTACATGTTTCGGCATAATAATGCCATCTTCAGGTGCTTACTTATCCACGCCAAACTAGTTCATTGCATGCCTTGTTCTCATATTAAAATAACTAAAATATGTATCTATCATATACATTGTCAAACGTTAAAAATATTAAAATTGTTCAGGATAACACATCGCTACGTCGCACCTCACTACGCCAGTCACGCCCATTCTCCTCTGTTGGAGCACTCCTTCACTATCTTGTGTGTGAACAATCCTGAACAATTTTAATATTTTTAACGTTTGACAATGTATATGATAGACACATATTTTAGTTATTTTAATATGAGAACAAGGCATGCAATGAACTAGTTTGGCGTGGATAAGTAAGCACCTGAAGATAGCATTATTATGCCGAAACATGTAGTGCGAGGGAGAGAAGGAGATAAATGAGTGTATGCACTGCAAGACGGTTTAAATAAATCATACCCGATTCTCTTTTCGAAGAACATATTACAATAATACAAATATATTGTCACTCGCCATACAAAGAAAAATATGTTTAATGTGTATTACTAATTTATACTGTGAGTGTAGACCTATACCCTGACCTAGTTTCTTACTCTTTATGTACGTTTTAGCGCACAAGGAACCTGACATTGTAAGTATAACCTGCTTCGAGGGTGCCTTACAAACTACTGGCCGCGTGTCACTTCTCACACCCTCGAACCCACCCCCTTGTCTGAAATTTTTCTTCTGCGCATTCAAGGTTACTCTTGGCTGTGTTTGAAGTTACGTGACACTTGCTATACTGTTCAAATCCGTAACTAGACTTACCCTAAAAGCTTCTTCAAAGTATTTATGTTCTTCAAGAAAGAGACCATAATTTATGATGATCTGGGGTGTAGAAATTTTTAAGTCTATGATACAATCATATACTGCTTTACAGGACTGAAACAAAGAAATAATAAAACAAGTTTTCATTTGTTATGGCTCTTACTTTCTTCTACATATTAAAGTAAAGCATTTTCAACATGGACATTCAAGTCTGTGGCCAATAACTGACAGCTTAAGTATTTACAAGGACTCCTGTATAATTTTACTGTACTATTTTAATTTAAAATTCATGTTATGGAAAATAAATCCAAATTGTTGCACATTACACAAATAAAAAACCTACAAAAATGACATTTCTCTCTGGCTTGTAACTGAAGCTAACGTTTGTCCATTCATGAGAACTTAGATTAATTTTGATAAAAACACTGTATATGCGAAGAATGGTGGATAACCTTACAATACCGATAATGAAATACAAAACATAAACAATGAGCATAGTGTGTTACCTTGAATGTGCCAAAGCTTTCCTCCAAATCAGCATACATTGACCATACTTTGAGAGATTTGTACAATCTCATTTGTACCGTTTCAGTTTCATCATGATAGGCCACCTTTTGTGGGGGCATTACAGTTGCCTTCTGCATTAACTTCAATGCTTCTTCATAATTCCTTAAAATAAAAAATCTGTACTGAATAAATGCACTTTTTGCTATGTAAAATCAAAATAACATGATGCAAATCTTCATTTTCTATGTACAGAGAACTCACATAACAAAATCCAGGCAACCAAAAGTTTTGGATTTTCTTATGTGAATGTTCTTTGCACATAAATGAATCAGTGCTGTATCAAAAATCACAATGGTCTTTGTTGTAGAAAGGCTCACAGAGGTTTTACTATATGTAACATAACAAAATGTAGTAGAAAATCTGAAGTTTACTCACACCAAACACAAACACAGCAGGTAAAGTTGTTCCTGTGCTTAACTAATTAAGCATTATGCCATGAAGACGTATGGCGAAGTGGATGTACAGAGCCATGTAATCTAGAACTTGACACTAGTTTGAGGTGCGTGGTCAGCTTCACACCACCAGCTCCTTTACCACCAGGGAAAGAGCCCCTGGTAACCATTGGGTATGAGGCTGGGTGGACCCCAGAACTGGTCTGGACAATGTGGAGAGAAGAATAATCTTGCCCCTATCAGGACTTGAACTTTGACTCCTCAGCCATCCAGCCTCTAGCAATTTGCTATACTGATTTCACTACCCTGGTTCTCCAAATATAGAGATTCACACTTTACTGACCACCTATTTTCAGTAGATTTCATGCTGCTGGTAAGACGGCAGCATGAGTTAAAATCAATATTTTTTACCTATCAGTATTTAGTGTTGTTATACAAGGGTCAGCCATGCAAGGCTTGTAAATCCTTGTTATTTATACATAATCACCATAATTTTCTAGAGTATTTTAAACCATACGATAAGTCCAGTTTCAATGCTGCGTTGCTGATGTGGTGAATAATAAAAACTGTCAATGCTACTTGCTGAACAATGACAACATCATTGGGGGGGGGGAGGGGGAAAAAATATTATTTGGTTTCTTGATTCATTTAACAATACAGAGTACTGCCTACTGGGATGTGATGATGTGTAGTATGGTATGATTTTACTGACATTTCAGAGCAATGTACTGCCTCTGGTTTCATGGCTGCAGACTATGCCAAGCAAGCAGAATGACTCTCTGACCCTGAAGATGGAGGGCAGGTGTTCCCTCCAAAACATCAGTAAACTACCAGACAACATCACATCTCAAAAGGCTGGAGGTACTTTTCACAATCATTGCTGTGAAAACATCAAACTCACAATGTTGAACAATGCCTGCCATATGAAGTAAATTATTAATGAACTGCTACTATGAAGGCGATTCAAAATTTTAACACAATAATATCAATATATATATATATTAAACAGACTGACTAATAATTCCAACTGTTGTCCATACATATTACTGACCAGGTACATTTTTTTTTTTTCACTGACTCTACAGCCCCCTTGGGCCCTGGCCTCTGATTTTCAGCTTCTGATCATTTTACAGGTGGTAGTCTCCTTGGACGAGTGATAAGCTCATTGCAAGGCCCCTACCTAAACACAGGACGAACATAGGACAACACAAACACCTACGCATACCAAACATCCACGCCTTGTGTGGGATTCAAACCCACAATCCCGGCTTGAGGGAGTGAAGTCAGTACATGCCTTAGACCGCTCGACTACTGTGACCGTTGACCAGATAAATTAGAATTTGTATATATAAGGACATAAGCAGTAAAACATACTCATGCCGAATCTCCATCTCAGCCCATTCACACCAGACAGATGCCAAATCATCAACTTTGTTGTAAGGGACATGGGTGGCATTTTCAAAAACCACACGAGCATCATCAATTTGCCTGTTCTCTTCATAAAATTTTGCAAATGCTACCCAAAGGGTGTGGAGTTTCCCAACTGCAAGCTTTGGATCTACAGTCTGAACTGCTTCTGTGTATGTGTTGATAATCTGAAACATAAAATTGCTGTATTAGTAAAATATTGTGACATGTCAAACCACTGTTGGGCAATGGGATGTGAACGAGTTACCACCAAGACAGACTCTTGATAAATGGTCAGTTGCCAAGTTACGTAACAGTGGGAACGAGGTTACGCAACAGTAAGGAAAGCAGTGTTTCTCTGTGCCA